TGTGCAGTGGAATGATTTTTAGTCTTATACTCTTCTCTTTTGCCTTTTCAAAGCTACTTACAAAAGGAGCATACATAGTATATAATTAATTTCTTTTTTTTTGCTCTGAATGGAACTGAGAATGTTTTGACATTTTCTTTAAAAGCAGCATTCATAGCAATGGTTTTCATCAAGATATCCTCATATGTACATGTCACTATTCTGTTTTCATTTATTATCCTCTCCCTGGTTTTTCTTGTGCCCTCCCCTTCTACAGCTGTTATGCCCCCTTAGTCCTTCTGCTTTCCTATTACATGTATTCCACTACTTTAGTTCCTGCCCCCTTAAGGTCTCCTCTTCATTACCCTCATCTTGATTCTGATTTACAAATGTACATGTATGCACATATGTGCATGTACACATAGTTTTAAATTTAAGTTCTGCATATGAGAAATGTATTTTTATTTGAATCTAATTTTGCTTAGCAATGATTCTAATTCCCAACACATGTGATTTTTATTTATTTACATCTGCATAAAATTCCACTGTGTTTATATACTACATTTTCATTATCCCTTCATCTATTGATCCATTTCATAGTCGTAGTGACTAATACTGATAATCACCTGTATGGTATTTTCACTTAATAATCCTTTGGGTATATATCCAGGAGTGTACAGCTGTGTTCTATGGTAGGCACCTCCATGCTTGATTTCCAAAGTGCTTGCATGAAATGACACTCCCAATTATTGATAAATTAAACTCTTCTTCCCAACATTTTTCTCTTTTCCACATCCTTACCAGCATTTTTTCCTTTCTCGTTCTTTCTCTTCTTTCCGTGTTTTTCCTTTGCTCCTCCTTTTATTTATTTATGTTTTGCTTGTTTTTTGATTTTTTTGAAACAAAGTTTCTCTGTGTAGCCTTGGCTGTTGCTTTATAGATCAGGCTGGCCTTAAGCTCAGAGATCTGCTTGCCTCTGTTGGAATTAAAGGTGTGGACCACCACTGCCCAGCCACCATTTATTTTATTGATAGCATTCTGACTGGGGTGGTATGGACTAGCAAAGCACTTTTAATTTGTATTTCCTTGATGGTGAAGGATGTTGAATACATTTTCAGATACATATTGACCATTTAACCTATTTATTGGCTAAACGATTTGAATTTTTTGGTGATAAACTTTCATTGTTCTTCATGTACTTTTTAATTTAATTCCGTGCTTAATATGTAGTTAGCAAAGCTTCTGTTCTCCCATTTGGTAAGGTATCTTCTCACTCCCTCAGTTATTTCTTTGGCTGTGCAGAAACTTAATTTCATGCAATTCTTATTTTTAGTAAATCTTAAAAGTTATTTCTCATGCTATTGGAGTCTTTCAGAAAATGCTTGCCTATATTTATATTTTGAGATACATCAGCTATGTTTTCTTCTGCAAGCTTCAATGTTGCAGATCTTACATTAAAATCTTGATCCATTTTTGCATTGATTTTGTGGAAGGTAGTTGACATTGACTTACTTTCACCTACATTTATAAGCCCACTTTTCCCAGCATCATTTGTTAAAGGGGCTGTTCCTTCTCTGATGTTTATTTTCAAGAGCTTTATCAAATGTTAGGTGAGTCTAGCTCTGTGGATTTACTTCTGAGTCCTCTGGAATATTCCTTAGGTCTACATGTTTATTTTTATGTCAACATTATGCTGTTTTGTTGCTAGGCTTTATTATGTAAGTGGAGATAAAGTATTGTTCATTTTCCATTGTTTCTGAAAAGGACTGCTTTAACTATTCAGAGCCTTTTTGTGCTGCCATATGAATTTTAGGACCGTTTCTAGTTCGGTAAAGAATGTCATTGGGAGGCCGGGCGGTGGTGGCGCACGCCTTTAATCCCAGCACTTGGGAGGCAGAGGCAGGCGGATTTCTGAGTTCGAGGCCAGCCTGGTCTACAGAGTGAGTTCCAGGACAGCCAGGGCTACACAGAGAAACCCTGTCTCGAAAAAAAAAAAAAAAAAAACCAAAAAGAATGTCATTGGGATTTTGATGGGGGTTGCATTGAATTTATATACTGCTTTTGATAGTATAATTTTCATAGTTCTTCCAGTCCTTGTAATCTTTTGATCTTCTTGTGTCTTCAATTCTTTCTTTTGTATCTTAATTTTAATGGTATAGGTATTTCACTCCTTGGGTCACCTTCTTTCTTTCCTGCATTTGCTTTCGCTGTCTCTCTCCTGAGTTACCTTTATTTTTTCATTCTTTCTTTGTTTCCCTTCCTTCCTTTTGTCTTCTTTCTCTACTGTGAAATTGAAGGTTTTAAAATTGTATTATATTTGTGTGTTCACACACGTGTGAGGTCAGGGGTCAATTTGTGGGAGTTAATTTTCTTCCACCATGTGAACCCAGGGGTCAAACTCAGGTACTCAAGTTTAGCAGCAAGTACCTTTAGGAGCTGACCCATCTCACCAGCTCAGCAATAAGAATTTTAATCTTCTCCTTCACTATCCTAGTACTTATGATAAGTGAAGCCTGAAATCATATTCATGCATAGAAATGATGCACATTGAAATATAAGAAATATAAGTTTGTGTTTGTTATAACAAAACAAATTCAACAAAAATATAGTGAAGGGGCTGGAGAGGAGGTAAGAGCATAGACTCCCTGGGTTCAGTTTCTACCACCCATATGACAGCACACAACTATTTGCAATTCTGAGTCCAGGGCATCTAATACCATTTTCTGGTCTACATGGGTACCAGGCACACATGTGGTACATAGATATATATGCAGGCTAATCATTCATATACAGAAAAGAAGATAATAATAAAATATAAAAAGAATATATTGGAAACTTCTACTTAAACTGCAGCAGCCCAAAAGTCTACTCTTGTGGGTAAAATGGAAAACCAGATTGTGGTCCATTACTGAAGCTGATGCCATTGAAACCCATATCTTGTCCCTAACAGTATGGCTAACGGGGAGCAGAAGAAAATTTACAGCAGGAAGAACAAGAGATAATTAGGACTACTCTGTCATTCCCATTCTTTCACATCTGCTTATAGCATACTATCCCCATAAATGTAAGTCAGATGAGTCATCCATAGTTATTTGAACCGCTACCATTGTTGGCAACTTTACTTTTACCCTACTATATGTACATTTCTCTATTATTTGTTTCAGGAATGTTTAAATGGCTTGAATAATACTAACCTACTGATATTTGTCATTAGCCACATGAGTGATACATAAAGCTACTAGAGTTGGGAGCACTGCTCTGTATTCCTGGACACTTTGATGAAGAAGTGAAGGGTTAATCTGTTATCCTTGAAAACATTCAGGATCCTACCCCATGCACAAGTATATTAGGATTCCAATGGATAACAGTAGGTACTTTTTTCTAGATATTACTCAAAGTACTCAACTAGCCCTCTGAATCTAATATCAACGTTCAGGAAAAGTTCAATGGTCTTGGAGAGGGGATTCTGGCTTTGAGAATTTGGTTAGTTGTATGAATGAGTTCCAAGTTGGGATGTAAGTATGTATTAGAACCCAAGTTCATGTTATAGTATATAAGTTCAAAGAGCATTAAGTTGAGGTGCTTTTAAGTCAAGAATTTAGATCTGAAGATAAGTTGGTAGATACAGGATTCTTGGAGAATCCCCTAGATTTAGAAAACTGAAAGATTTCTAAAACTGGTATTTCAGTGAATGTATGGATTATCTGATTCCTCCTGCCCCTGCTAAAAACAAAAGCAAAACCACAAAAATAAAAATTACACACACACACACACATACACACACACACCAATCCAATCATACTATAATCTATCCTCCTATTGTGAACTTCAGCATTCTATTCCTTCATCTCACAGATAGGGGAGCCCAGTACTCCGTCAACAAGCAGAAATGGAGTACTCAGGAGTGCAATGTGGTAATAATTAAGCAAGGTGCATGGAATGTTTTCCTCTATAGAGAACACCAAAGGTTCCACAGCCTTCCTGAAACATCCTCTGTATTACAGAATCTGCATTCACATATCTGTGCCAACTCAACTCCATGCTTGCCATTAGACAACAACAACAAAAAAATTATGGATGCATGAAACTGCAAGTGTCAGGCACTGACTGGTTCAGGTAAGAATTAGACTGTAACCTACCATTTGACTGAAGCATGTAGCTCTGCTATAATAACACCATGAGACCTTCTCTTCAGCAATATTTAAAGATTATTTGGGTTCTATTTACTTTTTAAAATTTAGTTTATTAATATTAGTTTTTGAATGTGTTATACTTTCTTCCTCTCAGAAACAGCACAGGGGTAAGGACATTATTTACCAACATAAGTGTTGACAACAGTGAATTAGCAATACAAGACTAGATAGGAAATGAGATGAATGTTTCCGCTGCAGAGTCAGACATCTCTTCACTCAGTGAGTGGAATTCTGAATGAGGGTGGACTGCTGTGCTCTTCTAGGTCAGGAAATATTTATAAAACTATACACTTCATCTTTAATGAACAAATGCACCAAAAAAGAGGAAACTGAGTCATGTGGAGATAGCTAAACCTTTCTGAATGAGAACACATTTTTGTTTACCCTATAGACTTTCAATATTTTTTCACTACATCTTATAGACATTTTAAAAGGAGTTGCATCAACTAATGGACAACCTGTAAATACAACTAGTTCTGTATTAGCACAACCTCAACAATGATTATTTTTGTATCTTTCCTACAGGCAAACTGTATAGTCAATTGTAAGTGTGTAATTATCAACAAGGTACAGCACAGAGACAAGAAAAGTGCTTTAAGTCTAGTTATTATGATAGGTCCATCTAATCAACATAATTAATAATACTTTATTATAAAAACCCCACATATACAATATTTCATCAAGTCTCTTAAATATATTCATAATGAAATGTGTAGAAAGAGACATTTCAAAGTCATAGCAGTTACTACTGTTACAGTATTTAATCATTTTTACAATAGGTCTGTTGGTCCGTTTCAACTAAATTTGTTCCCACCAACATCACATTTCTTTCTGTATCTCACTTATAGCACAAGCAAGTTGCTTAATTTTTCCTTCCATCATTTTTTTGTTCTTGCATGTTTCTTCCAGAAGTCCTCGCATTTCGTCTTCAACTTGTTGAACCTAAACCAATGTATACATTTTACATTTTAATTTTCTAAAAATATTTTAAGTGCATTTTGAAAAGTCAACGATGTATTTTATGTACTCTATAAGTTGTTATTCATTAAATGAAGTTAGTAAGATGCAACTTTTTTCAAATGATAAAATGGAAAGCTATATAAAGTACTTTCATGTGTATTACCTATTTAGTCCTCATAAGATTCTCCTGCAAAGGATAAAGTAATGTATTTTAACTACATTTTGAGTTTAGAAAATGTGAAATTCCTATTTTACAGAGAACAGAAACCTAGTTTTCTGATTCCATCATCCCATTGTCCTGAGCAGCCTGTCAATGGTGAGTTTAACTTAAAATACCCACACCTCAAAGACTTGCAACTCACACAAGCTTCCTCCCAAATCAGTCTTTTCAATGTGGTCCCTCCAGCATTTCTGAAAGTTCTGGTGGTGTTTTCTCTTTGCGATATAATTTTACCATTCATTCTTAGCCCATATTTCCCCAAGATCTGTGCACTGCATACTACAGACCTTTGCTTGAAACTTTCTTCTATTTAGCTCAACATGTCTGACAGATTCGGCTACTGCAACAATCTTTTTCTGCTACTACATTCCCTTAATAAGATCTCCTAATTTCTTTTCCCTTAGAAAATGACTTTTCCTAATTTATTCATTTAAAAAAATTTTTTTTAGATTTTATTATTTTGTGTAAGAGTGTTTTGCCTGCATATATGCATGTTTTGCAAAAGCATGGTTAGGACTCATGGAAGTCAGAAAAGGGCATCGGCTCTCTTGGGACTAGAGTTATAGATGCTTGTCACCTGCCATGTGGGTGCTGGCGATAGAACTTGGGTCCTCTTCAACAGTGACTAGTGCTCTTAAAGGCTGAACTAACTCTCCAGCCCCAACTTCTCCTGCTTTAAATTTTTACCTATCAGTGATGCCTCAAGTTCTGTATACTTCATATGCCTAATTATTATTTTTAAGCTCTGGTTCTATTTTTCTAACTTTTTTTTAAAATTTAAAATGATTTTATTGTTTTAGTATACAAGGCAAATTTATGGCATCAGAGCAGAGGCTGAGGAAGACTCATATTTCCGGTTGGATGAAAGACCCACTTAAGCTTATAATGAGCCAATCGGTGAATCCGGCTCTATCAGAATCAGGTAGAATTTAGCATCCATGTCCTTTCTGTTCATCTCAGAGGCTTGGGAACAGCAACTGCTTTCGATCTTCAGGACAATCAGGAGCAGGGCCTTTGGACTTAAGAATTCTCAAGAACTTATTACATCATGAAACAGACTTGTGCAGTATCAGGGAGTCTCTCAGCATCATCCTGAAAAGAAAGGCTTGTAACTTCTAACATAACGCAGACTTGAACGTGTGATAAACCTCAGGTAGTAAGACTCTCCTAAGTCTCCTGTCTGTCAAAAACAACAGAAGAAAGCATTTCTTTACCTCTTTACCAAATCATGTTGCTAGTAGGTCCAACATTATACTCTCAGTACGTTCAGCCGCAAGCCCAGTTCATGTTTTATTTTGTATTGCCCACAGTATCTTTGTATCATGTTAAACAAAATACCTGAAGTCACTACTGACTGCAAGTGAAATAACATGGTCATTATGCTCCTAATAATTGATTAAATAAGACTGTCAAATTTCCTTGCAGAGTCCTAATGGTAATTCTACCTTAAGCACATTCTGACAGTGACTCTTCCTTTGTATATAAACTTTCTTATGTGTTAGTACTGTCTGTAACCACATTTGTGAATGTGTGTGGAAGCCAGAATATAGCACTGGATCCCTCAGACCTAGTTATAGGCATTTATAGAGTGCAGCAACCTTGTTACATGAGTGCTAGGATCTAAACTCTGGGCCTCATTAAGAGCTCAATGCTCACGACAGCTGAGCCATCTTCTCAGTCCCTCCTCTCCTGCTTTTTGGAGACAGGTCTTCCTGTTTAGCCCAGTCTGGCATAAATATTTGATCTTCCTGCCTCACCCTGAGTACTGAGATTACGGAGTAAGCTTGCATTATGTGCTCTCTGTTCTTGAATGTTTTTTGGTTGCTTATTTCTGAATCTTACATACCTTAGTTCTTTTTGGTTGCTTTTTCATTACCACTTGAAAATTGATGAAAAGTTCTTAAGTATCTTTGAATCTAGTGGATCTCAAAAAGGTAATCATATCAGAATATTTGTGTGTTTGTTAAAATACCTTGATCTTCATGAGGGTAAAGCCCATGATGTTTGTCTCAGAAGCACCAGAAACTTATTTTTATCAAGATGACAAACCTGATTGGCTTAAGCCCTAATGAACAGGGAAGTGATCACCAAGAACTTTCTCCAGGCAGTGTAGATTGCACTTCCACAGGGATGTTCATGGAGACTGCTGAGATCATAGAGTGTTGCAAGCAGGGATTTAACTTACTACTCAGTTCCCTGGAGTTATTATCTGTTAATGATTGAAATGTTGCCTAGATTCAGGATAACTTTAGTAATATGTTCTTTAAAGGTTAGGTCATCAAAATGTTCAACCTTTCCTCTTTTAGTTTCCAAAAATCTAATTTGTTTAACCATAATAATTTAACATTATCAAAATAAATCTTAGCTTACTGTACCTTTAAATTTGCACAGTCAATATATTTCTGCTTCTCATTTGCTAGCTGTATTATTTCAGCTTGATGAGCTTCAACAATTGCATCAACTTGTTTTCTAAAGGTGTCATCCATGTTTTGAAGCTTTTCCAGTGCATCCCTTAAAAAAAAGAGAGAGAAAATAATCCCTATGCATATGGATCCACAAAGAGATTAAGAGGGCTTTCTAGTGAGAAGCTGTCTGCAGGCTCTGTTATTAATACCATTCTGCATTTTGAAATAAAAACTAGTCCTTAAACTGTATTACCTATTTTTCATGGGAATTCAATGTTTCAGGTAAGAGGAAATTATATATATTCAAATCTAATCTAATTATTACCGGGAACTTTCTTATTTTAGACGTGTAATGAAAATAACTTTCTTTCTTAGCGAATTATGCCCTCTGTATCTTTGGCATCTTCTTTCTTTACATGTATTTCATCCATTCTAGTGTAGTATGTGTGTTTAAAGGGATCCCACATCCTCCATAACTTAATACTTACTTTTGTAGCTCAAGACTTTTGTCTCTCTCTGCTTTCAGTTTCCTTTCTTTGTTTTCAAATTTTTCTTTTACTTCTTTTACTTGCGTTTCAAGATGAGAGAGTAGTTCTCCTTTATCATGCCATTTCTTATTTAGTGTGCTAAAAAGACAAGAAATAACTTTAGAATTAAGTGAGGAACATGAACTCACTCATCTAAACCTTTTTCTCACTGACAATACTGTATAATACCTGTAAGCTTTTCTGATTTCTTCAAGTTCTAATTCTTTTGCTTTCAACTGTTGCTTAAGTTTCTCCTTTCTTTCATTGTGTCTCTCCAGTTTCTCAACTATAGAATCTAGTTGTGAAGACTTTTCATTAAGTTGCTCTTGAGAACATTTTTCTATGAAAGTGATCTGTTCTTGTAGCACTTTGATTTGCCCATCTTTTTCTTGTAAACACTTAAAAAGAAAACCAGTAATTTATTTTAGATGTTGCATATTGGTATGAGTGAAGATCTAAAAGAATATGGACCATAAAAATATTAAAGTTTCTTGATATGTATAATCTTTTACTGATGACTCATATTTTGTTATTTTCCAGGTAATAATAATAAGGCAGGCTTGGTGCTACATGCCTTTCGTCCCAGCACTCAAGGCAGTGGCAGGCAGATCTCTGTAAGGCTCGCTTGGTTGCTAGCCAGCCAAGAATACATAGACCCTATCTCAAAAAACAATAACAACAACAACAAAAAAGTCAAAGTAGAATTCAAGTTCATCAGCATCAGATACTGCTTTTAAGAGCAAGGCTGAGAAACTATAAAAGGAAACATGATATTCTTTTTGTCTTTAAAATCTACAACAGTCGAGGATCACAAAGATAAATTATCATTTTCCAAACCTGCTACCCTCTCTAATCTTAAAGGACCAATATCAGGCTTACATCTTTCAGTTTCCGGATGGTTTCAGTTTGGTCCTCGATGATCTTGCACTTTATTCTCAATGCATCACAGTCACTTTCATGGGCTTTTCTCAGAGATTCATTTTCTCTGTATAAACTTTCAATTTGGGCTTCTAATTTCCCACGACTCTGCGATAGTGATGAGCCTAAGAAATAATTACCAGTTAGGAACTTAATACACCTTGGGGATTTTTGTACTTATAAAATGCTACCTAATAAGGTGAAAAACAAGCAAACCAAAAAACAAAAACAAAAATAAAAACAAAACAAAACAAAAAAACCAACTGATGTAAAGCCCAAAGTATACAATAATGCAAATCAACAGGAGAAGGAAAGTCTTTTTAACATTTGAGCTCTATTTAAGTAAAATGAAGCAAACACAATCACAGTAGAAATTACTATAAAATAAATAAGCAATGCTTTATTTTGACCACTAACTATTCATAATTTTTAAGCTATCTGTTAATGTCAAGACATAGTATTTATTTTTTGCTATATAGCAGCCAGAAAGAAGACTAAGGGTTTACCTGAAATCTACAGTGACTTTCATTCATGTACAATTTTACTTCTCTCCATGCAAAATATGGAAAAATGTTACAAATATGAATACTCATTTTAGATGATTTTAGTATTAATATAAAGAACAGTATTATCACAGTATCCCAGGAATACATTCAACTTTAATCCTTTTATGTTACCAGTGCAAAGGCTTACTCTTGAGTGACTTCTCTCAGTCTCCAGAGCAGCAGTAGGTATAGGCATGTATCTCCATTTCTGGCCACTTAAACATCTTAGTTATTGAAATGCCTTACTTCCCTAGAGACTTGTGCTCCTGTTTGGCTGGTAAATGCCTATGTATCCTACTAGACAACATATTCTTTTTAACTTAGCACTGGGAGGCAGTCCAGATATACTGCTTTGTAATAATGGCTATTTTCCATTGAAAAACTTGAGACTCTTACTCTGACATGCCAGTTCTTGTCCCCATACTTTTCTCTCAGTTCGTAAGCCATAAATCAGTGACTCTTTGGCTGCCAGCTCAGAAATCAGCTGGTTTTTTTCATGTCTGAGAAGTTCTATTTGAATGCTCTTCTGCTTGTCATCTTCAATCAAAATTTCAAGAGTGTTGATTTGATTCTGTACACCCCAAAACACAAATTATTTCACTTAATTATAAACATTAAAATTATATATGCTATAAATTATTAAAGTTGTTCTTTTTGTATCTTATGAAAAATGCTCTTTAAGCAATTAAAAAGTAAAGATTACCAACTTTTACACCAAAAGTTTTAAGGTATACACTATAAAACGAAATGCTAACATTTAAAAGGCTACTTTTTAACACCGAGTTTCACTCCATATTTATAAGAGAAAAGTTGAATCCGTAATTGTCAAAATTTCTCATGAAATATTTAAATCAACAATCTATATATAATTTATTTTCCAGAAGTTGATTTCTTAGGTGAAGTAGCACAATTATTAAGAGATAATTTCAAGGCTATTATGGTTAAGTGTACCTGAAAATACCATTACCACCATCGAATTAATACTAATAATACGAGTAGTGTTTCTCAAAGCTTAGCACCTTTTCAGTATCACTTTCCCATTCTCAGTCCTAACACTGTACAACTGGTGACTACTATATAGAATAAGTTTACTGTCATTTATTCACATAGTTTTATTTATTTTTGAGAAAGGGTCTCACTATATAGACCCGGTCAGTCTAGAATTTGAAATGTAGACTACAATGGATTCAAATCCACAGAGATCCATCTGCCTGCCTCTGCCTCCCAAGAGCTGGGGCTGAAGGGGTGTGCCACCATACCTAGCATTCTTAAGATATTTTGATGAAAGCAGTATCATCTATGAAATCATGAATCTCATTAGGTATACTTTCATTATGAACACCAACTGTATGAATAATACAATCTCAGAGTTATTCCTGAGTACTTCCTAAAAGTCACTGCTCACACGTGAGACGATGTGAAAGCCCCAAGGGAAAGCACACTGCAGATTCCTGCCTGTAAATTTGCTGCTGCTTCCTGCTTCAATTTGCAGACTTCTGAGAGTTTTGTCTTTTGTTCCTTCACCATACAGGTAAGATCTTTAATTAAAGATGAAGATTCATTTTCTTTGCGTTGAGCCCAAATAAGAGCATGTTTACTCTTCGCTAACTCAGTTGCAACATCTTCAAAGCCATCTTTAACCTGCATTTTAAAATCATATTATAAGATTTCCAAGTAGAAAATATTTGCTTCTATAAATAGTTTACACTTTTCATTTTAAAACTTTTAAGTTTAAGTAAAACAAAACTCAGAGGCATCATGTTTCAGTGTACTTAATATCTAGAAAGTAAAACGCAGACCTAGGGAGTTTGCTATTCATTTGTCCAGTTACTCAGGGAATTAACTACTGAATATAAGAACCAGGATTAATTTGTATGACACATAATTCACTGAGCAACTACTGTATGTCAGCTATTGTTTGGTATTACAATGATCAGCAGACAAAACAGACTAATCTGTTTTCCAGTAGGTAAGGACTAACAATATAGCAATAGGACCACACTATGCACTATGAAACTATATAGAAAGAACATCCCTTTACTGAGCAAAGCTTAGAGGGATGCACAGTATTGTAAAGGGAATGTTTAATTTTAGCGAACATTATTATCAAGAGGTTAACAGGGAATAAAAGGCTGTAAGGCTGGAGGGCTGGTGTTCCAGGCAGTAAGGTGCTTACAAGTCCGAGTAGAAGACATGGTGACGTTAGAGTGGCATGAGTGGGGAGATGACAGAGCATGAAATCAGACAGAATACAAAGAGTTTTGATTATTATTCTGAACAGAAGTATCTGAGGAGTGGCATAACAGCTAACTTACACATTCTAACACAAAGGTGGTAAGAAAGAAGATTATTATTATAAGAAGCTCTTGAGGTTATGGAATATCAGAGAAAGAGGCATCAATGAGAATCAGAAAAAGAGGAACATTAGTTTTTCACACAATCACTTAGAAGCCTAGGAATAGACACGAATGGAAAGACTTGAAGTAAATGTAGAGAAATTTCAGTTTAAGAGAAATGCTAACTAGTAAAAGGCAAAAGATTTATACCCACCTACTAAAAACAATGATATCCTGAAATTTGCAGGCAAATGAATGAACGAGGAAAGATCATCCTGAGTGAGGTAACTCAGACACAGAAAGACACACATGGTATGTACTCACTGATAAGTGGATATTAGCCATAAAGTACAGGATCCACACTACAATCTACAGACCCCAAAAAGCTAAGTAACAAGGAGGGCCCAAGAGGGACACTTGAATCTCACTAAGAAGGGAAACAGAACAAGACATGGAACTCAATAAGGGAGGACAGAAGGAGAGAATACTGGGAGAGACAAGTTGAACTGGTGGTGGCGGTGGGATCTCTAGGACAAGCTAGAGATCAACAGACACTCTCAGGAATCTATGACGGTGACCCTAGCTCCTAGTAGTGGGGGATACAGAACCTGAAACCGCTATCTCCAGTAACCAGAAAAGACTTCCAATTGAGGGACTCGAACACCAACCTAGCCACAAAACCTTAGACCCACAATTTGTCCTGTTTAAAAGATGTGCAGGGGTAAAGATAGTGTAGAAATTTAGGAAATAGCCACCCAAAGACTGACTCAGCTTGAGACCCATGCTGTGAGAGGGAGCCTACCCTTGACACTGTTAATGATATTCTGCTATACTTGAAGATAGGAGCCTAGCATAACTGTCATCTGAGAGGCTTCACCCAGCAGCTGATGGAAACAGATGGAGAGATCCACAGCCAAACATTAAGTGGAGCTTGGGAAATCCTATGGAAGATAGAGAGGAAGGACTGCAGAAGCCAGAGAGGACAAGGATACCACAAGAAAACTAACATAATCAACTAACCTGGGCCCACTGGGGCTCAGAGATTGAACTGCCAAACAGATAGCATGCATGGTATGTACCCAGGCCCTCAGTACATATGTAACAGTTCTGTAGCTTGGTCTTCATGTAGGACTCCTAACGTCAGGAGCAGGGGCTGTCTCTGACTCTGTTGCTTCCCTTTGGATCCCTTTCCCTTAACTGAGCTGCCTTGTCTAGGCACAATAGAAGATACTCTTAGTTCTACTCCAACTTGATATGCCAAGGTGGGCTGATATGGGAGGCCTCCCCATTTCTGAGGAGAAAGAAAGAATGGGGAGAGGGTTTTAGGAGAGGGGAGAATGAAAGGAGAGGAGGGAGGGGAAACTGTGATTGAGATATACAGTAAGTTAATTAATAAAAATAAAGAAATACTAATTAGGCAGTGGGCCACCTTTGTCCCAGGAGCGGATGGAGGACTGTCAGTTTTGCTGGCCCCTGCTGTACAAATTCAGGTTTCCCATTCCTATTCTGATTCTCACTTTAGATCCTCACTGATCACCATAATTAGTTTTCCCAACAGCAATAAAAAAATAGCTACTGTTATATGAGGAAATGAAAACTCTACAAATTCATTTTTTAAAACATCATATCATTTTGGGTGGGATTTTAAAATGTAGTCCTCTCATCAGTAGAGAGCGAGATAGCAATTCTTACATCTTTAAATCTTCTAGCTTCAACAGTTAAAGCAATACGGAATTCATTTTCTAAATCCAAATACTGCTGGTTTAATATATCAATTTTTTCTTGGTATTCTTTTACTTCTTGCTCATGTTTTCTTTCTTCTTTGGACAATTGTTTAGCTAATGCATCCTGGAACTCAGCATCAGTGAAAAACTCCCGAGTTTGAATTTCTTGCCTGAAATGAAAGCCAAAGCAATGCGATTCACATTAATAAAAACTCAGTGGTCTTTAATTAAATGGTGCTGGTCTAACTGGCAGTCGGTATGTAGAAAAATGAAAATAGATCTGTATTTGTCACCTTACATAAAGCTCAACTCCAAGTGGATCAAGAACCTCAACATAAAACCAGATACACTTAATCTAACAGAAAAGAGTGAGAAAGAGCCTTAAACATATTGGCATGGGGAGGAGGCGGAGGGGGTGTAAGGGATTTCCTAAACAGAACTCCAATGGCTCATAATCTAAAATCAAGAAATGATAAATGGGACCTCATGAAACAGGAAAGCTTCTGTAAGGCAAAGGACACTGTCAATAGGACAAATCGGCAACCTACAGATTGGAAAAAAAACTTCACTAACTACACATCTGATAGAGGGCTAATATCCAAAATATATAAAGAACTCAAGACGCTAGCATCCAAAACACCCAAACAACTAAACAAGTAATTCACAAGGAAGCAATCTTGAATGGTCTAGAAGCACTTAAAGAAACGTTCAAAGTCTTTAGTGATCAGGGAAATTCAAATCAAAACGATCCTGAGATTTTACCTTACACCAATCAGAAGAACAAAAACTCAGGTGATAGCACATGCTGGTGAGGATATGGAGAAAGAGGAACACTTCTCCACTGCTGGTGGGATTGCAAGCTGGGACAACCACTCTAGAAATCAATCTGCAAGTTCCTCAGAAAATTGGAAATAGATTCAGCTATACCCACTTTTGGGCATATACCCAAAGATGCCCCATCATACTACAGAGGCATGTGCTCTACTATGTTTATAGCGGCCTTATCTGCAATAGTCAAAGCTACAAACAACCCAGATGTCCCACAACAGAAGAATAGATACAGAAAATGTGTTCACTTACATGAAATATTATTCAGCTATTAAGAACAAGGACATCATGAGTTTTTCAGACAAATGGATGAAACTAGAAAATATCATCCTGCCTGAGGTAATTCAGACCCAAAAGAACATGCATGGTATGTACTTACTAATAAGTGGATATTAGCCAAAAATGTACAGAGTACCCAGGATACAATCCACAGAACTTAAAAAGGTTAACAATTAGAAGGACTTAAGTGAGAACGCTTCAGTCCCACTTAGGAGGGAGAAGAAAATAATCACAGGAGGCAGAGGGAGGAAGAGAGGGAACTGTGTGGGAGAGGGGACAGGGAGAGGAAAAGGGGAACATGATCAGGTATTGGGGAGGGGAGCAAGAGAGAAGCCCTAAGGGCCAGCAGAATGAGTGGAAATATGCAACTTGAAGAGTGGGAGGTGAGAGGTGGGGGAACCCTCTAGGATGTACCAAAGACCTGGGAGATGAGAAACTATCAGAACTCAAACCTTAGATGAAATGCCCAACAATGGGGAACTTGTAGAATCCACCTCTAGTAGAAAGACAGGGCCTCAAGTGAAGGGATGGAATTGATATCCCATAGTCAAAAACACTGACCCAGAATTGTTACTATCTAAAAGAACTGCAAGGACAAAAACAGAGAAGAGACTGAGGGAAAGGAGTTCCAGTGACCAGCTCAACTTGGGATCCATCTCATGGGGAGGCTTCAAGGTCTGACACTATTACTGATGCTATGGTGTGCTTACAGACAGGAGCCCAGCATGGCTGTCCTCTGAGAGGCTCAACAAGCAGCTGACTTAGACAGAGGCAGACACACCCAACCAATAGACTTTAGTCAGGGACCCCAGTGATTGAATTAGGGAAAGGCTGGAAGCAGCTGAGGAGGGTGACTCCATAGGAAGATCAGCAACCTCAACTAATCCGGACCCCTGAGATCTCTTGACACTGAGCCACCAACTAGGCTGCATATAGTAGCTGGTATGAGGCCCCTGGTACATATATAGCAGAGGACTGCCTGGTCTGGCCTAAGTGAGAGAAGATGCACCTAACCCTGGAGAGACTTGAGGCCCTAGGTAGTTAGGTGGCCTGGTGGGGGTGGGCTGGGGACATCCTCTTGCAGACAGGTTGGGAGGAGGAATGGGATGAGGAACTGTGCGAAGGTGGACTGGAAGGTGATAATGACTGGATTGTAAAAACATTAAAAGTCATAAACAAACAAACAAAAAACCCTCAATGGTCTTTAAATAGCTATTAACATTTTGTATTACCCAAGGTTAATGGAAAACAAGTTCCTTTTTTTTTTTTAAATCACAGAAATGGTACTTAGGTAGACAAAGAAAGTTTATAGTCTACTGTTGTAACAGAATCAATCCTGAGTAATTTTATAGAGTTATTTGGAAGTGAATTAGGATGGCGTCCTCTCTATATGATGAACCATTTCTGGTAAAGTCTGAAGAAATATAAAAACAAGGTGCATTATTATAAGTCTTTCTCATACCGACACTAAAGTCACATATTTGATTTTTAGCTCCTAGCATTTCTATAGGACTGAATCTAATATAGAAGCAAACACGGTATTGTCTATGAGTTAATTCTGATTTTAATCTTTCTCTCACTACACTGATTGATGGATTGCTTTTATGTGTGTCATGCATTGAAGGCACAGGGCACCAGGTGGGAGTTGGCTTTCTTCTTATCATGTAGATCCCAGGAACCACACCTTTCAAGCTTGGGGACTAAGCCATCGTGCCTGCCCTCCATGGGTTAATTCTGCCAGATTTCACCAATGGTCAATCACTGCGTGAGGAAGACCAAGGAAAGAGCCAGGAACTCCCTTTTATACTTTTAAATGTTAGTATTATCTTGATACATGTTCACTCACCTGTGTTCCTGCTCTTTCAATGCCAGAAGTTCATGAAGTTGTTGCACTTGCTGTTTTTCTTGGTGAAGAGAGGTTCGAAGTAAGTTTATTTCTCGATCAGCAGCTGAGGCTTTGAGTTCCACCTCTTGGATCAGTCTTATCTGAGTGAAGTACACATGGTCAGAGCTTACACAAGCATGTCCCTCCTTCTAGTTCTTGTCCTTAGCCTGTTCCTAGCCTCATCTGAGTGAAGTACACATGGTCACAGTTCTTACACACATTCTCCTGCTTCTAGTTTCTATTTGGTTGCTTTGTTTAAAGGCCAAGAGCAGTTTCATTAATTTAGAAGAAAGCCACGAAGCAGGCAAGCTGCAGATCTTTCAGCTGTCTGAAGGAGGAAGATTGAGAACAGGAAGAAAAAAAGTTAAAGGAGTTATGTCTTAGAGTTAGGCCTGGAAGTCAGGCAGGTCAGCCACATGGTGAGTGAGGGGTAGCTTTGGGGAGTGCTGAAACTGAAAGTGGTAGGGATGGCATGTCCAGATTCAGTCCAGTATCTGAAAGAAGAAGGGGAAACAAAAATAGAAAAGAAAATGAGAAAGTCCTTCCTCAGAAAGACTGGCCTACCTCAGAGCTTCATGGCCATCCCAGTAACTGTCCCTGCTTCTATTTTAATACCAGCTCCTCTAAATGCTCATTAAATCACATGGCCTAACAACTAATCTGCTTTCAAACTTTATAGAATTAAGAATGGCATTGCCAATGTAGAAGCATCAATTGTACTAGTATCAATTGTACTGGTACTATTGATTTGCATACATTTTTTTTTTGGACAGGAATTCAATGCCAATAGCATGAAACTGAAAGTCTTTCAAGTACTCCACAGATCTGAAAGCTGTCTCTCAAAAATATGAGCCTATCTCCCTCTATTATTTTTACCAACTCTACCAATTCTTTATCTAACTGGTATTGATAGAATAAAGATGTAACTTGCAGGCTGCATGATTGAGATATTACAAATAACAGTGACTTAATTTGTGCATACAGCCTGGCATCTTTTGAACTTACTATGGTATGTAATTAGTTTTAGGAAGAGCCCTCAATCTGTTCATTCATATCACTGATCCACTCAGGGATACCTGTGCCTGCTGCTGCTGTGCTTTCTGCTTCTCCATTTTTTCCAACGCTCTTTCCAGGGTTCTCAGGTGTCTGATGTGATCTTCCTGTTGATCTCGAGCTTTCATTAATTCAATAGTTAGTTTTTTAACTTCATTTTGAAGTCTGTGAACTATAATTTCAAGTTGAGCCTTGCAATGTCTCTCCTTAAAAATAGCATCCTTTAGTCTGGAGAATAAATTATATAATAAAAATATGAATGTTACAAGTTTAAAAATAATGAAAATTATACCCGATGTTAAGGCTTAAAACAGTGATAAATATCTGAAGTATTGTCAAACTCTAATTATACTTAAAAAAGGGCTACAAAACAGTATATGCCTTTGTCCCAACCCTGAAAATAACATTTTCCTGTAAGGGAAAAATATTCATCATAAACTAAAGACATTTACATAAAGTTATTATTTCACAGTAACTGTTTGCCCCTAGTGTGTTTTAGTTTTGAGATACGTGTGAATTTTTAAAAAACATTCAGTATAAGTAAGCCACTGCCCTCAAAGAGCTCAATGTCAAGCAGAGCAGACTGGCTTGGAATCGCTAAAGCTAGGAGATGGAAGTGCTGCATAAGCATCTGGTCAATTTTGACTTCCTTTTATCTTACCCAGACCAAAGTGGTGATACCAGCTTTGTATGCACTAGAGTGTTTTGCTTGCAACTAAAAAATTGACTTATGTAAACAACAAGGACAAGTTTACTGGCATACATAACCAAACTTAGGCAGACTGGCTGGTACTCTTCTCAGACACCACTGAAACCAAGCACTGAATCCCTTTAGAATTCTATACCACAGAGTTAGTTCTCAGGAACTGGTTTCAGCTTCTCCTAGTGTGGCAAGCACTTAAGGGCATGTATATATGTGTGTGGACGTGTGTGCATGCATGAAGGTCAGAGGACAATTTTCATATACAGGTCTCTCCTTTCATTGAAGGTTCTAGAAGTGAATTCAGGCTGTAAGGCTTGTGTGGCAAGTGCTTTTACTTACTAAGCCATCCTGCAAGCCCTGAGTTTACATTCTAACAGTCACAACAGGAATGATCTTTGCTTAATTCAACTTAGAACAGCCATAAGAGTCTCAGATTAGTTCATTTTAATTTATATGTGAACCCTGTGAACCAGTCATTGTGTCATGTTATTATATTATTAGCTTGGGTTATCAGTTCATACCTTATCCAAATACAAGAAACAGCTAAATGGTTGATATAACTCTAGTTTGTGGAAGAATCTCATGAATTAATTACTGAGCTAAAGTAGTTCAATGTTTATCAACTGCAATTTCTAGGATATATGTGTGTTATATATGTATGTATCCATCAACTGCTCTATGATGGTAATTTCTTCAATTCTTATTATCTCTTTCCTTTTGTCTTTAATGAGAACAGTTTTCAAAGTAGTATTCCTTTATTCAGTCAAATTCCAGGTTGACATGAGAAAATAACAGATGAGTGCTGTAGATAAGTAAGACAAATAGTTATCTAAGTAGTAAATCATAAGCCAAGGGTACAGTTTTGGGATACAGAAGAAATGAGTATTTTCACAAACAGAATCAAGAAGATATCAATACCAACTAGCTTTGAGATATAAGAAAGAGGTGGCAGAACAATTATTTCTAGTTTTGTTAGCAGACAAAATATTCATGGCATACCAGTTACTAAGGCAAAGAATACAAAATACGATACAAGAGATACAAGATGGTTTTTCCTCAGGATGGGCTAACCTGAAAACATTTATGAGAAATAAAGGAAAGGCACTTTTGGTAACTGACTAGGTCAATAAAGTCCAAGGAGGTTGAAACAATAAGCATAGTAAATGAAATTCACTTTTTGACATTATTCAGAGGGTAGCACCTACCTGCCAAAGACTTGGTATTCAGGGCAATGGATACAAGATATACACAAGAACATCAAGAGCTAGAAGGCATTAATCTCAAGATTTTACACCAACAAATACGGGTATGGATAGAAGCATCAGAACAACTGAGACTGACTGTTCAAGAGAGCAAGGAACATGGTGGTATGTTCCAAACCTCCCAAATTCAATCTGGTGAGCAGTTAAGATATTTTTTTCTAATACACCACAGTTAATACCTATACTATGAAATAAAGCAAAAACTATTTTCATATAGCTAAAATGAAAAGATCAAGAATGGCAAACTGGATAGTTGTACACACCTGTAATTCCAGACACCTGGAAGGCAGAGGCAGATAGATATGAGTTCTAGGCCAGCCACAGCTACATAGTGAGACACTGCCTCAAAAATCCAACATAACAAAACAAAAAGTATGCCGATACTAAAAGGAATTTCAATTATAATGCAAAGGAAAATAACATTTAATAAAAACAATTCCTAAAACAAGCTTTGCTTCATTCTGAAGAGTAGAGGAATTCTCTTGTGTACAGTCTCCCTGTGACACATCCTGAGATGTCAGGTAATGGGGCTATTCTGAAGAAGTTTGAGCACTATTCCTTTTCTTATGCCATTCTCTCATTTCCTGACCAGGATTTTCTTCTATCCATTCATGGATCCATAGCATGGCTTCTTTTTATCTTACCACACAGGTACAACATATAAAAGCAGGTAGTAGAGGCGGTTTTCTGTTTTCTTAAGGATCAGTATCACACAACCAAATGTATAAAATAAATGAGGGATCAGGTTGGAAACTGTTTACCTTAATTTAATATTCACATGAGATTTTGTAAGAGGAATTATCCATTCTATAGACACAAAATTGAACTAAGACTTCCAGATCCTACTTATGGCCAATACCAAGTCTGGAGACCTAGTGTTCCCTTAAAGATAAGAAAAAAAAAAGGAACCAAAAAGTAACTGTGAGGAAAACCAATAACTATTTGAAGAAAGGGATAACCTAACTATTAAATATAGAAATCAAAGAGGAGGGGGTAATACAATGTATCTTCATACAATGGAATAAGAATGTACTGGAGTGAAAAACTCCTTAGGCAAATAGGAGACTGAACAGACAAGAAAAAAAAAAAAAGAAAAGAATTAAGGAACTTGGCCTATGTAGTGCCAAAGCTAACACAGGAAATGAATACGTTAAAAGAGACAAGGATTCATAAACCTTAAAGAGAAATTTGTCAATGCCAGCCCTTTTTACCAATATGGCACTCTATAAAGCATGTTACCCTGACCAAAGCACTAAATCTTCAAATCAAATGAATGTCACATATATGCATTTTTCTATCACTGTTTTACACCAAGGCATTCCTATTCTAAGCCCAATAATCTTCATGTTCTGAGAGACATCTTTAGGCTCATATTTTTCCTTAGTTTTTCTTAATTTAGTCTCCTATATATTATATCCAGAACAATGTTTATCCTCCTTCCTCTCCCCCCAGTGCCCCTCCCCCATCCATTCTTCTGAAAAGGGTAGGCCTCCCAGTGATATATCAACCAAACACAGCATATCAAGTTCCAGAAAGACTAGGCATCTCCCTCATATCGAGGATGGACAAGGTAATCCAGTAGGAGGAAACATGTCCCACAGCTACATATGGAGAGGACCTAGCTCAGATTCAGTCAGTCTCCCTGGTTGTTAGTGCAGTCTCTGTGAACCCCTATGAGCCCAAGTTAGTTGATTCTGTGGGAGTTCCTGTGATGTCCTTGGGTACTCTGGTCAAGGTCCTTTCCTCCCCTCTTCTGCAGAATTCAGAGTCATATTTTTGCCTTACCTATCTGTGGTAATAAGAGCCTGGCTGTGAACATCTTTTTTCTCATCTGCTTGCTTATGTAGCTCATCAATATAATCCATAAGTTTCTTTTCCGTTTGCTCAGCTTTCCACTTCATCTCTCTCTCTTGGTCTAACTGTTCCATGAGGGACTAAAAGAAAACAGCAATGCTTCATGAACTTGGAAAAAGTAAGCACATTTCTCACCACTCCAGTTCTTTCATCTAGTTTACAGTAACTTATTGTAAGAAGTCACAATGAGAATTATAATAATGGACATAAAGCACACAGACGAGAATAGATAGTGCTGGGTACATAATCACTTCAAATGAGTGTTTATTGGTACTGTCATGACAGTTATAGAAGGCAATCTTATTATTAGATTATATTTTTTACAGTACATAGTAGAATATAATAACCAGTACTATAACATGTAAAATGAGGGCATGCTAATATATTCAATGAATCTTGAATATTTAAAATAATTTCAGCATCTCTGAATCCTTTTCCAAAACTAGGTTTCAGGACAACCAACTTCTTTGAGAATACACAGAGATTTATTTTGTTATTTGAAGGGTCCCAGTATCCCCTCTCAAAGCAGGAAGTATTAGTTTGGGAAACAAGAACTGGAATTTTCCTAATGTAACGTCATTTCAACTGATCTAGCAAATTTAAAAGCAGTAATATTATGCAAAAATCTAGAAACTGGGAAGGGTAAAATTAGCTAATTTTCATCATTCTGATAAAACTATAAACAACATATATTACTCATAGAAAATTTGATAACTTTCTAGGACTTTGTACCTAAATCTAAGATTATTAAGCCTTAATTCTCTAAATCATACCCGATAAGTGCTGTCATCCGAGACACTCTTGTCCACTTTAACTATGCCAGTCTTTTGCTCATCCATGTCTCGTAAGTTATTACAGTTTACCAAAGATGATCTGACATATAAATCTCTAAAGTAAGGTTGTCTCATTTTACGATTACAACTGCAAAGAATAAAAGGCAGAAAATATTCAAAAGTACAGTTTATGTTTTCTAATACAAACACCTGTAGCCACATATCTAGTATTTAAAACAATATATTAATTAAGGGGCTAGAGAGATGTCTCAGTGGTAAAAAAGCACTGGCTACTCTTCCAAAGAAACTGGGTTCAATTCCCAGCACTCAAATGGCAGCTCATAACAATTTGTAACCCAGGTCCAGGGGATCTTATGCTCTCTTCTGTCATTTGTAGGCACCAGGACACGGTGCAGACATATACGCAGGTAAAACCCTATACCAATACAATAATTGTTTTAACAAATTGTATTAAGTAAGGTAATAGTTAACTTGGAAAGCTAATTCATGAATTTTATATAAGGGATGTACTTTGCTGATTCACTATTTAGAATTTCAAGAGTTTTCAAAAAGATAATGATTTTATATGTGTAGTGTTCAAGATACTCAAGATGAAATAAACTATGATCATAAAATAGAAAAATTTGAAGAAAATGATTTAATTACCCTATGGCACTTAAAGGTTTAAAATTGATACAACATACCAGAGTAAACAGATTCTATCAATAGTCAGAATAAAAAGAAATTCTTGGACATATCCTAACTTTAAAGGACTGAATGATATTTTTTTAATACATGAAATTTTATAACCAATGAGTACATGTAAAAGAGAATTGTGTAGGCAAAAAGTAGATTATACCTACTCTGAGGTAAATTCTTTTCTTAACAGCTATCATGGTTGATACTCCAGCTATCAACTAAAATATACACATTAGATTTCTACATCTGCACATCAAAAAATAAATAATCATTTTGTCTGCCTCTGATCCTGGCTTAGTTGTACTGTTTAATTAGGCCTTGGCCTCCGAGCTAGATCTGTCTACAGACAGAGTAGAAATTAGTCAAGTAAACACAAGTGTATCAGCTTCACCTCCCACTCACTGCAAGTACTACAGTGGCCTTTTGTTTGGTATTATACATTAATTTCTCAAAGAGAAAACAATCTTTTATGAGTATACAATTCTCATGTTTCTGCAGTGGTTGGGTGCTGAATGACCTGAAAACACCAAAATCTTTCAATGCTTACTTTATTACATAATATAGCATAGCATTTTTATACATAACACATTTGAGTGTATATTAAACTGTCTAGACACATTTTAATATCCAATATAATATCTGTCATAATACCTATTAAAGCTAATTTATTATTAGTTAAGAAATAATGACAAGAAAAAGCTTGTGAATGTTCAATCAGAAGCAATAATTTTAAACCTAGTAAATTGTTCATATTAGTAAAGATGTAATTCTTTGATTTTATTTGATCAGTGGTTGGTTGAATCAATGGATACAGAAATGTAGGATATGAGGGGCCGAAAGCTGAACATATCTGAGCTCCCAGGCTAAAAAGGAAAAAAATTTTTGATGTCAGTAAACTGAGAAGTTTATCATCATGAAACAGCAAATAGGAAGCCAGTCAGTTACTCCTGTGTGACTTATTTGGACTACTAAAACCAAAGCAAGTACCTTACAAAAGCACCATTGTTTTTATTGTGGTGCTTAATAGTTTGAATAGTTCTGGCATAATATGGGATTTTTGTTCTTCTGGGAACTTTTCTGCTGCACTCTTTTCTGGTTCCATAGTCACTTTCAGAAGTTACATCTGTGTCTCTTTTAGGTCTGAGGTCTTTCTGAGGAACATTATCTATTAAGGAATTATTAGTCTAGAATATAAAAACAGAAAGGAAGTCTGTTAAAAGTTCTTCTCAGTATAACTAATTAAAATTTAATTCCTTCTTAAATATTAAGATACTTTATAAGATTACAGATTTATCAATTCTGTATTTTTGAAACTGAAAACAAGAAATCCAGCTCTGGCACAGGAGAAAAAAAAGGGAAGACAAGAGCTTTTAGTAACTCAAATCTGGGAAAATGAAAAAGAAAACAAAAACAGAAAAAGATAAAACTATTTAAAGACCTCAAGAAGTAGAAATAAAAGGCAAGACTACTTTAGCAAAATGGACCAGAATGAGACCATGCTTCAATCTGAGACTATCAGTTTACTACCGAGAAGTTGTGACTGCCAAGTATTCAAGGTTAAGAATTTGGGGCTGAAAACCAGAGACAATAAAAGGTAGTTTCTAAAAGCCAATGAAATATGAACTCAACAGACAAAATTAGAGTTAAAGTCAAATCAAATTGTGCTAAATAATAGAATGCCAACATTTTAGAACCCTAACAGAGCTTTCCAGTCTCCATCTGCACCCTGGAGCTAAGACTGTCCCACAGCCCTCTGTACCCAAATCCCACCAGGAGAGAGCTGGTCTCCCTGGAGTCCTCTCACTAAGCCCAGAGGTGAGATCACTACTTTTTAAATAACTGTCCAAAGAAGGACCCTCCAGGAGCACACATGACACAGGAACATCAGAGCAGCTGGGAACAGGATCCTTCCAGTCTCCATCTGCACTCCTGAGCTAGGACTGTTCCACAGCCCTCCACACCCAGTTCCCGCCCAGGAGAGAGCTGGTCTCCCTAGGAGTGCTGACACAGCTAAGATCACATGCTCACAGGCCTACAGGAGGGATAAGCTCCAGTCAGAGACAGCAAGACCAACTAACACCAGAGATAACCACATGGCCAGAGGCAAGAGCAAGAACATAAGCAATAGAAACCACGGCTACCTGGCATCATCAGAACCCAGTTCTCCAACCACAGCAAGTCCTGGATACTCCATCATGCTGGAAGAGCAAGATTCGGAATTAAAATCACATATCATGATGATGACAAAGAACTTTAAGAAAGACATAGATAACTCCCTTAAAGAAATACAGGAGAACACAGGTAAACAAGTAGAAGCCCTTAAAGAGGAAACCAAAAATCTCAAAGAACTACAGAAAAACACAACCAAACAGATGAAGAAATTGAACAAAAACATCCAGGATCTAAAAATGGAAGTAGAAACAATAAAGAAATCACAAAGGGAGACTAACCTGGAGATAGAAAATCTAGGAAAGAGATCAGAAGTCATAGATGTAAGCATCACCAACAGAATACAAGAGATAGAAGAAAGAATCTCAGGTGCAGAAGATACCATAGAAAACATTGACACAACTGTCAAAGAAAATGCGAAGTGAAAAAAGCTCCTAACCCAAAACATCCAGGAATTCCAGGATACAATGAGAAAACCAAACCTAAGAATAATAGGTATAGGAGAGAGTGAAGAATCCTAACTTAAAGGGCCAGTAAATATCTCCAACAAAATTATAGAAGAAAACTTCCCTAACCTAAAGAAAGAGATGCCCATGAACATACTAGAAGCCTACAGAACAAATAGACTAGTCCAGAAGAGAAATTCCTCCCATTACATAATAATCAAAACACCAAATGCACAAACAAAGAATATTAAAAGCAGTAAGCGAAAAAGGTCAGATAACATATAAGGCAGACCTATCAGAATTACACCAGATTTCTCACCGGAGACTATAAAAGCCAGGCAATCCTGGGCAGATAATCATACAGACCCTCAGAGAACACAAATGTCAGCAAATATCCAGCAAAACTCTCAATCACTCTAGATGGAGAAACCTAGTTATTCCATGCCAAAACAAATTTATACAATATCTTTCAAAGAATCCAGCTCTACAAAGGATAATAGATGGAAAACTCCAACAACAAGGAGGGAAGCTACACTCTAGAAAGAGCAAGAACAAACCCAAAAGAAGGTAGCCACACATACATAATTCCATCTCTAACAACAAAAATAACAGGAAGTAACAATTACTTTTCCTTAATATCTCTTAACATCATCCCCCAGAAATATCCTTCATCACACACTCTTTATTTTAAATTTTTTAACTTCGGATTCTGCAGGAAAATCTGCTGCAGATAGATTCTGGCATCCTGATACCAAAAAGAAATTTGCAACAGTCCTCTGGAAAGACCCATTAACTGGAACCTGGAATGGGCTAGATCCAGTGCTTATCTGGGGAAGAGGTTCTGTCTGCATATATTCCCAAACGGCAGATGCTACACGCTGGCTGCCAGAGAGACTGATCAAACAAATAGACAATAACAAATCCAGGAAGGAGAAACCCCCTGAGAAGCGTATTTTTTCTTTACAGGAAACATTTAGATGCTTCACAATTGTCTTCAAACAAGAGCGGATCAACAAGCATACCAGACTTGAGAAGTTCTCAGTGCAGAAGAAGACATCACCACCCACACCTCCAGGGTGGCTCTATTGGACTTTTGATTCCCTGATTTATGATTTAGTGGGAGTACATTGTTTAGACCCAGGAGAAAACGCATTACCACAGTTACTATAATTGTTTTTTGGGTTTGGATTAACTGGGACAAGAATGGAGATTTTCTTTATTTTTTTGTTAAGATCAAAGCTACGATCAGTTCTGAACTTCTATAGATTTAGATTTAGATTTAGAAAGAATAGAATCTGCTTATAATACATTTGTAAAATTCATTATCCTTCTTAGCTGAAATAGTCCTACAGAATAGAAGAGGCTTACACATTTTACTCCTCCAACAGAGGGAGTTATGTGCTACCCTAAAAAGAGTGTTGCTTTTGCAATAACCATTCAGGCATTGCTAAGTCTCTTGTCTCTTGGGTTCATGCTGTTCAACAGACTGATGGCTTTTGTACAACAATAGATAGACCCTATTCAAATGAAGCCCATACAGGTCCGTTATTACAGGCTGGAAGTAGGGGACTCCAAAACCTCTGTCATCAAGACTGATGAGGATTAACCCCTAATTTACGCGCTAAGCCGGATAGTCAATGACGAGTAAGAGAACACTTCAATACCCTTGCCCCAAACTGGGAGGCCTCACCATCCTAAGACAGGAGCTCAACCAATGGCTGTTCAGTATCCAGAGACGGGAAAGGGAGGCTGGGGTCCTTTGTTCCAACCTAAGACAGACACGGTTTCTGTAAGTTTCCCAGCCTTCCCTTTTAAAAACAAATTTAAAAAGGGGGACTGTTGGGAGCCGACTCTGAGCTGAAACTGGCTATTATCTTTCCAGCTATCTTGAGCCATATACCCTGACAAGAGACTTGTTTACAATAGCTGAACACACTGATAATTATCTTGATCCTTTTAGTCAAAGTCAGGCAGTGGTAGCACACGCCTTTAATCCCAGCACTTGATTGACTCAGGAGAGATATAAAAGGAGAGGCCAGAGCAGACCCAGAGTCAGAGCTAGTCAGACTTGACAGAGAGCTAGACAGACTTGACGGAGAGGCAGAGGCAGAGAGCAGACAGACTAGTCAGAGCAGACAAACTTTGTCTCCAGACAGACTTTGACTAGACAGACTTGACAGAGAACAGACAGACTCAGACTCCATCTCCAACAGGAAGACTTCATCTTTGACCAGACTTCGTCTTGTCTCCATTCTTTGCATCCCTGTCCCCACTCTCTCTCTTGCTCCCTGACCCGCGGACCGGAGCAGCAGAATGGCTCGCTACAGGAAGCAACAATTACTTTTCCTTAATATCTCTTCACATCAATGGACTCAATTCCTCAATTAAAAGACATAGACTAGCATGGTATGCACTCACTTATAAGTGGATATTAGCCCAAAAGCTCAGAATCTCCAAGATACAATTCACAGACCATGTGAAGCTCAAGAAGAAGGAAGAACAAAGTGTGGATGTTTCAGTCCTTCTTATAACGGGGAATAAAATACTCATGGGAGGAAATATGGAGACAAAGTGTGGAGCAGAGACTGAAGGAAAGGCCATCAAGAGACTGCCCTACCTGGGGATTCATCCCATATACAGACACCAAACCCAGACACTATTATGGACGCCAAGAAGTGCTTGCTGACAGGAGCCTGATATAGGTGTCTCCTGAGAGGCTCTGCCAGAGCCTGACAAATACAGAGGTGGACGCTCACAGCCAGTGAGGTCCTCAATGCAGGAGTTAGAGAAAGGACTGAAGGAGCTGAAGGGGTTTGCAACTCAGTCGGAAGAACAACAATAATGAAAAAGACAAATCAGAGTCAAGTATGGTGGTGTATGACTGTAATCCCAGAATTCCAGAAGCAGAGGCAAGATATCAAGATCGTCTGTGTTACATAATAAGACCTCATCTTAGAAAACTAAAGCAACGAAGGAAGGAAAAACTAGAACCCTCATGAATTGTCATTAGGGACATAGAACGTTGCAGCAACTCTGAAAAATCTGGCAGTTCCTAAAAACATAACCTAGGGACAAGCAATTGCACATGAAGGTATTCAATTAAAAACTTGAATAGTAGTATTATAGAAGTATCATTCAGTTGCCAGAGTAATATTAGTAAAATGTCTATGAACTGATATCACATATACAAAACAAGAAAATACTATTGGCAATACAGGTACTGACACTCATGAAGGAAGGCAACAGAAAAAATGAGTGAAAAATATCTTCCATTGTTTTCTGCCATTGTTACTGTACATAATTCTATTTCTGTAAAGAAAAAATACAGATACAGTCAATCTGATGTTTCTGGTTGGTCAACTTATGTACAATTTCTACTTTATACTTTGTTCAATAAAATAATTTTTGAACAAATTATTGTTCAAAAATTTTTCTTCAATAAAATAAAAACAAATTACTTCATTGAGAAGCTGTAGGATTTGATCATCTAATTTCTGAAGTTTCACCTCATTCTGAAAATCGTTTTCATGATTATTTTTTTCTGGTTCAGAAGATGGACACACAGATAAAAGTGAGGCCAAAACATTTTCTTCTGGAGTATTTGTAAATTCCTTCAAAGGAGGCAACACGTCCATTGGTGGTGCTGACATATTATCAATGACCTATGATACAGAAACAAACCAAAGTCCTTTAAAGTTCATATTCTGATACATTGACTCTTGAAGCTATCATTTCTCTCAGAAAAAAACATAAATACTTTACCTCATCTTCACTTATATTCAGGGGGGAATCAGAAGAAACTAAGTTATCCAAAAGACCTTCTAAGCATTGTAGGTGTGATGAGTTTATTTCTTCCAAACTTACTGGCTCACCAAATATATTCTTACAATCTAAGATTCTCAGTTGTGGTAAAGTCTGGAGAATGATTGCTCGGTACCCTTGGAAACAGAGTTCAAAATCAAAGCATAAATACTTTAAGAAATTATGTCTAAAACCAACCAAGCTATTAGGTATACTGCCTGAATGGGAATAAACATTATGAACTCAACACCTTCAACATCCAGTCAGTAAATACAGAAGAGGCAATGTAGTCCTGCCCCATTGTAAGCACCATTCCTGATAGTCAGATCACTGAACCATATGGTATGAAAAATTACCTCAAGATTATAAACGCATTCTACCCTAAGAAGGAAGATAAACAGGGCTTTTGCTTATTTTAATATGACCATCATAAAATGAATCAAAATTGTAATTAGAGTGGCAGAATTCCACATAGTGAGACATTAATGAAATATCTCACTTTTCTTAAGTACACATCATTAATATTAGCATATGCAATATATCATATATTAAAGAAAAATATATTTGTTTTTCTTAAGAACAATTAAATGAGAAATCTGTCAAATTAACATTACATTGGTATGCAACCAATGACCCAGATTCTCTGGAAGAGCAGCCAGTGCTCTTAACCATTAAGCCATCTCTCTAACCCCTCAACCAATTCCTTCCATTTTCACTCTGTGTAGATCAAGGGACAGCATATGGGAGTCATTTGTCTTCTTTCACCATGGGGGTTCCAGGAACTGAACTCAGGTCATCGGGGTTGGTGGCAAGCTATACCAGCTCTCGAACCACTCAAGTAACTTCAATACTAAATATTTCTAAACCTTTTAAACCAATTAAGTGATTGGAAAGACTCCAAAAGTGAGATCTAGAAAATCAGGGCTAGAACTTTTTTTTATGCATTTTAGTGTTGCCTCTGTATGTATGTGCCACATGCATGCTTGGTGACTATAAAGTAAAAAGAGGGCAATGGATCACCTGGAACTGCAGTTATGTATAGTTATGAGCCACCATACGGCTGATGGGAAATGAACCTGTAAGTTTAAGCTTTCAAAAGACACATTTATTAATAATACAATAAATTCACATGGCATAAAACTCAAAAGCTACAAATAGAGCTTCTTCAATACTCACATTCCCTGTTTTAAGTCTTGTTATCAGGAGTTACTGTGCAGTCTTCTAGATGTCATACATATTAATATATAGGTATGCTATATTTAAATATATATGTAATATGAAGGGTGGTGTTATTTTTACATAAATATTACTTGCTTTTGTTTCTCTTAGTATAGCTGGGGATAAAGGACCATTGGTAGATAGAAATATTCTACTTTCTCTTTTCATGGTGACATAATATTACAATACTAGAATATAACTGTGGTGGTTTGAATAAAAATAAAATCCCTATGGACCACCATAGGTTCATAGGGATTGGTGCTATTAAGAGGTGTGGTCTTGTTGGGGTGGGTGTGGCTTTGTTGGAAAAAGTGTGTCACTAGGAGCTGGGCTTTGAGGTTTCATATGCTCAGCTCTACCCTGTGTGGCTCACATTCTCTTCCTGCTGCCTATGGATCCAGATGCAGACCTCTCAGTTACCTCTCCAGCACCATGGCTGCCTGCATGCCACCATTTTTCCCACCATGAATATAACTGACTAAACTTCTGAACTATAAGCCAGCTCTAATTAAATACATTCCCTTTATCCTTGGCTATATTAGGATAAAGGAAAGAAAGGAAATGTTGCCATGGTCATGGTGTCTCTTCACAGCAGTAAAACCCCAACTAAGACAAAACCATAGTTATAAAAATTTGAAATATTCACCATCAGATATATAAACTATCTAAATAACACCACCAACCTATTTACCCTGCTGGGGATGCAGCTCACTTACTAGAGTGTTTGCCTTGGTGCATGATACCTAGGTTCAATTCCCATGGTATCTTGGGTTCAATTCACAGCACCACTTAACTGGGCACAGAGGTGCATGACTATGAACTCAGCACTTAAGAGAGGAGGAAGGTCCATGCTTATCCTGTACTACACATCAAATTTGAAGACAGCCTAGGCTGTAAGAGATATTGTCTCAGGGAGAAAAGAAAGAAAGAAAGGAAGGAAGGAAGGAAGGAAGGAAGGAAGGAAGGAAGGAAGGAAGGAAGGAAGGAAGGAAGGAAGGAAGAAAGAGGGAGGGAAGAAGAAGGGAGGAAAGGAAGGAAGGAAGGAAGGAAGGAAGGAAGGAAGGAAGGAAGGAAGGAAGGGAAAGAAGGAGAAAAGCATGCAAGCATGCAAGCAAACAAGAGGGAGGGGAGGAATCCTATATACTTTAAACATAGAAGCAATTTAGTTTTTTTCTAATTAATTCTTTATAATTATGTTTTCCTAAACATACACACACCCCATCCCCCGTCCCCCGTGTGTGTGTGTGTGTGTGTGTGTGTATGTGTATACATATACACATACACATACACACATATATATGGAAAGCTTTAGAGTAAAATGAAGAGGTCATAACTTCAGGAAATAAATGTTTTCCCATTTAAGTATTAGAAATGTATTTAATTAATCATTTCATACCTGGTATAAGACAGATAGGATTGCCTTCTCCATCTTTCTCTAAAATAAGATTGGTCAGGAAGTGCAATCCTACTGTACACTGAAGTAAGTGATGGATGCTATCTATATAATTACTATGTAGGTCAATATATCGAAGTTTGTACTTTAGTCCATGAAGGGGCATCAACCCTGCAACAGGAAAAAAAAAATGTTTTAAGGCAAAGAAACATCATATGAGAATAATTAGTAAAATTTTGTTATTTCTAACATGTAATTCTAAAATTGTAAATCAGCTATATCACTTAAAATAAAAAACAGGTAAAAATTTCAAAATATTCTTAAGACATGTAGAGCACATGAAAAACTGATTTTAACTTTTAAGATACAAGTCCCTGGAATCATTCATATCTATACTGTATAATGTAGTCACTAGTTACTTTTATATTTAAATTAATATTTAATTAGATATACAGTACAACCATCAAATTTCAAGTCAATATAGTCACATCTGGCTAAAGGTATCCACATGAGAGAGGGCATCAAAGTTTCCATCACATCTGACATTCTACTGGAGCTGCCTCTCTCTATGTGAGTATAGTGAGTAGTCATTGAAGATTAAGCAGAACCCTCCTAAAGTAGGGTTTCCTCATTTTAGCTTTTTCTGCTACTGATCATACTTGTCTTCATTTCTATGTTTTACTCAGGTATTATTGTGGCAGCACCAAAGTTTTAATAGACGTATATCACTCAGATAAAACACTTGGTCACAACATCATTATTCTTTGCAGTTTTCCAACAGTGAGCTAAGTAAGTCCTCATAGCCTGCAAAGCTTCAGCATTATAGAAATATAAACAAATCTACTTACCACTAAGATCACTTATGTGATTATAAGACAAATTCAGTCTAGTCAGATTAACCAGTGCCTCAAGTCCTAAAAAGGAGGGGGAAAGTAACACAGCCTTTATAAGCTTTAAATAAAGCAACAACATTGCTTCACATTGATAGTGAAATCAACTGCCATTTTTGTAGTTATTTAACTATTTAAAAAGACAGCTTTATGGGAAAAATGTGCTTAGGTAGTTTTAGGGTCAATTTTCAAAAGTTTATGATTTTATTAATTCCATTCATTGGAAGAAAATACACACATAATCTTATTTTTCATTTTTTTCTAACAGAAAATACCACACATAGTTGTTTACAAACCTTCCACTCTTGTGATCAAATTGCAGGACAGGTTTAAAGTGCATAGCTTTGTCAGTGTGTTCAGGCCTTCAATCTGACTTATTTGATTAGATGACAGATCTAAATGTCGTAGGTTCCAAATGTGGTCAATGGATGAGATCTTGGAGATGTTATTACAATGCAAATTGATGGCATGAAGGGATGAATCTAAAGATAACTCTGATATACTATAAAAGAAAATGTTGTAAAACATATTTTAAAAGCATAGCCAAATAGTTACAGTTAAATTAAGTAGAATGACTATAATGAATTATTTACTCTACTTACTTTAGAAAAAAATCTGTCCTAGACCCATTTCCTTTCCTACACAACTTGTGCCCCTTTTGGTTGGATTGTTTTCATAATTAAGACCAACATGTGCAGCCAAAATACCCTTGGATGTGCAGCCTTCTACTAGAGTATGGTAGACTTATCAAGGACAACATTCTTAGAGAAAACTGACCTTCTTCTGGTCACTAAAAACGAGCAACTGCAAGCTTTAAAGCTATTTTCTTACTAATTTTCAAAGTGTTAAGTGGTTGGTGTTTGGCTGTGCCAACTGAACAGACCAAGGGTGACCTGACATGAATCCAGGATGCGTGAGTTTATAACTTTATTTTCTTTACTGTCAATAACAGCTAGTTAGTCCAGACTGCAGTTGATTTCTAAAAACAAAACAACACAACAACAACAACAACAAACAAACCAAAAAACCTCCCCACTAATTATTGCTCTTCCTGGTGTATAGGCTCAGGTCCTCTCTAAATGCAGGTTGGAATGCATTTCCTCCAATCAGAAATCATCTCTTTACTCCCTCAATTACCATTTATAAGTTGAACTTGCCGAGTAGAACGTTTTTTTCCCTGGAACTATAGTGCACTGGTCAGAGGCGGTAAAAGTAGTTTGGAACAGCAAACACAATGTCAAGGGCATTTGTGGTAGATTTTTGTTCTGGCTAGTATAAAGTCGCAGGAAACCTATTAACTGGCAGCAAGGAAACATTTGCAAACTTCAAAACACCAATTTCTAAAGGTGTCTTAAGTATTTTCCAATTATCTAGCTTCTATCATTTACAGAATTATTTAGGGACAGATTTTGTGGTATTACTATATGTTCTTAATAGTAATCTGTTTTCTGTTATCAGAAATCAATACTGTTGAATTTAATTGCTCACTAGTTGCACTGTCAAATTATATAATGTATCCAAAATATAAATTTCCACATTCATTGTGTACTAGAAAAAAACGATCTTGCCTAATTGTTGTGGTGATTAGTAATAACACATATACCATTCACATAGACACCATCCTCGAAGTGATTAAACATAAATGTAAGCATTCTTTTGAAAAACCTCTTCATTGACAACTCTTAGATCAGGACTGAGACTAAGCTGTTTTCATTATATTATAAATACCAAGGTTCAGAAGGAGTGGAGCAGGCACTTCCACAAAGACACAGAGACTATTGTAATGGAAATGCCTGAATCTTATAAATAGCTAGCTGTCCTGTGAAACTGAAGAAACGGTCTAGGTTGAACTGGTAAACCGGACTCAGAGTATGGAATACCCAGGGGCCAGAAAAAAAAAACACTGAACCGTCTGTGCCACATAAAACGGTCAGCTAAAAATTACATTTGGTACCTTCAGCAAGTATAGGGATATGTTTCTGATTGTGCCTTATGTATATGAACTCAAAAAACAGACGAGAACTGAGGTAAGGGGTGTACGCAGGGCTTGCTGTGCTACTGGATGCAAGCCCTAGGGCCACTTCTCAGGCTCAGGGAAGAGCAGGAAGAGCGAAAATGGGGCCGAACAGTGGGGAAGGAGGAAGCCTGGGTTTGGCAGTGAAGTAAGAAAGAATCTCAGGCTGCGCTGGGTTGGGGAGAGAAAGGAACCCCAGGATCTGTGGAGAGGATGAGGAAGAACCCCTGGCTCAGCAGAGTGAGCCAAGAGGGACCCAGGGCTTGACAGGAAGCAACCCTGGGCCGTGCTGGGGGAACAGAGGAGGAGCCCCGGGCCGTGCTGGGAGGACAGAGAGGAATCTCGGGCTATGCTGGGGGGACAGGTAGGAACCCCAAGATGAGCTAGGAAGATAGAGAGGACCCTGCTGGGAGGACAGAGCGGAGCCCCGGGCCGTACTGGGAGGACAGATAGGAACCCGTTGCCCACCCTCAACCCCCCTCCCCGAAACCAGCCAACCCGAGGTCCAACCGGGTGGCGGCTGCTACCTGTGCAGGCCTTTGTCCATGAAACACACATCCCCGCAGCTGCTGTCGCCATCCTCCGGTTCGATTTCGGTACACACCGCCGCCTCCATGGTACCCGCGACGAGGAGTGGGTGTTAACCGGCGCCCAGCGCTGGGTCCCAGCTTGCTCACGGCTCCAAGTGCGGGAGCAGGGCGTGAGCAAGGGGCGGGGCGAGGCCTCCAACCGCCCGTCGCACTTTCCCGCCTTGCGCGGCCGCAAAGCGTGGAACCGCGCCACTCAAAGAGAGCTTGACTTTTACGGCATCTGCCTCTAAAGTACAGGCTTTCCGGCTGTTAGTTTGGGAATGAGTGGGCCTAGCCTAGGTCCTTGTATATGAACATTATTTATAGTCTACTGCCATATGAAGGCGTTTTCCACAATAGTTTGGTTTTATACTTCATGACATGATCTTACAGTCATAGTAACGTTTCCCTTTTTTGGTCACTGACTCTCCTGTTAGGTCGTTAAGTATTTGTGCACTGCCTTTATGTATGTTGGTCTCCCTGTGATGAGAAAAAAAATGTTCAGCTTTTTAATGAGTTCGCTCAGGAGACACTCTTTATGCCTCGGCAAAGCAAACACTCCAAAGATAGTTCATTGGGCTATTCCAAGATAGAGTTGGTGGTACATACAATGGTTTTCCATTGTGGATTAAAAGAATTCTTTTTGGTAGGTGATGACAGTCATGAAATAAGTTGATCCCTTTCCCTCCCAACTCATGGGACTGATCTCCTTACAAGAACCGTATTTCCACAGTTCTTCAGAAAATCTCACAAAATGTTAGGGGATATTCAAACTTTGTTGAAAAGGATATTCTAATGAAGCCAAAGTGTTTGTATACTTTGTTAGTGCACGCATGTAGAAAAATGACCTGATGCTATAGTATTTTTATGTAGTAGGTACAACCTATTTACAGCTTCAAGGATTTGTAGCCACACAAAGGCATTGCAAAGATAGGGAGACAGTCACCATAATACAGTTTTCCTGGCTACCACATACATAACTTGTTGGGGACAGCATACCATGACCGAGACTGCTAGCAGTAGGCTGGTATGGAGACATTTTAGTAGCCTGCTGCAGCTCTTTCTAAAAACAAAACAAAACAAACAAACAAACAAACAAAAAATAGTTGTTCCAATTTCTCCTAACCTTAGCCCTGGACAACAGCTGTATAGATTTCATCTGTGTGTGAATTTTTCAGTTGGCCTTGGTGTGCGTAATTATTCTATTATATCTAACTTTGCTATTTTTTCTCTTTTTGCTTTGATGAATTCTGTGAAACTAGATGGTCCTTGATGTAATGATTCTTGAACAATTAAAAACTGAGGCATTGGGCACAGCACAGCACAGCACAGTCCTAATGGCCCAGGTGCATGCTGTGTGTTCTCATGTTGGAAACAATGCAATAACTGCACAATAGTAGTTACAGATTAATGCTTGACTTGCAAAGATTTGAAGAAATTATAGAAAATGAATTAGAGCCAACATAGGGACTCCAAGAAAGGAAAAAAAAACTACTAAAGTTATGAAATAAGTTTTGCACAACATTTAAGAGTGGTTTCTGGATAAGAATGTAAAGAATACATAAAATTATATATTAGTAAACCTAAGTCAAAACACTGGAACTCTCAGGAGAGTAATGTGTGCAATGTACAGAAGCAGAAAGCTAACAGAACTACTGAGTTAAGGGTTAACTTGATTCTTTCTAGCCACTGCCTGGCAGCTTTGCCCATATCATTAGAACTTCACAAGAAAATGCAAGTAGCTGGACTCAGAGCTCTGAGCTCTGAAATATAATAAGTCAAAAGTTAAAGTTTAAATAATAAGTTTGCAATTATTATTATTTTGGCTATAGGCCTGGGGATAGGGAAAGCTTGAAACTTTGGGGAACAATTATAATTCTTGATTCTTGGTGGGATGTGGTTATTCTTTTGAATTTGATTTGGCAATCATAATACAATGTCTTTTTTTTCTACCTGATTTTGGAGTATCAATAAAAGACTAGGGCAAGAGAAAGGCGAGAGAGCATGTGAAGAGTGAGGGTGGAAAGAATGAGATGTGTGTGAAAGTGTTTGTGTGAGTGAAAAGAGAGTCTATGGGATGTGTGTGAGATGTGTGTGAAAGGGGAACACACAGAGGTGTATAGGAGTGTGAGAGTTTGAGAAAAGAAAAGCACATAAGAGAAAAGCAGAGTGCTGGTGGGCAGATCTCACACCAGGGTGGCGCAGGGGCAGCCCGGGCCTGGGCGCAGGTCAGCGCCCATGTGCCCACGCGCATAGATGTCAGGGCGGTCTCGGGAGCCCTGACCTTGGCTGGAGGCGGCACTCTCTGGTATAAGCGGCTGTAGAGTCCTGAGAGCTGAGATGCCTGGACGCTGTGCGCCAGATGCTGGGGCTCGAACAAAAGCGCCACGGCTCTCCTAGGCTCTCAGGAGAAAGTGTCCGGCGGCTCGCTAGCTCTCTCTCACTCCCACCCCATCCCGTGGGTTTTGGCTTACACAATGAACCCAGGATTTCACGAGACATGTGGAGATTTAAGATGCGTTGATTTATTAACAGACAGGTTTGGATGGTGTGAAACTCTCCCGAAACATGTTGGAAGGTGTTTGCTTATATATTGGAACCGGGGGAGAAGGGCGGGGCCAGGGAAATCTTGAGGCAGAGACTTGTTCTCCCCACCTTCTACTTGGGGCATGGAGACCTCGTGGCAGGGCTCTGGAGGCGTGGCCGAACACCCAGGATTTTAAGTCCCACAGAGTGCAGCCTCAAGCTGTGTGTGTGTGTGTGTGTGTGTGTGTGTGTGTGTGAGAGAGAGAGAGAGAGAGAGAGAGAGAGAGAGAGAGAGGGAGGGAGGGAGAGAAAGTAACTTTAAGCCTTGAAAAATTGCCTGTCAGTTTGTACCCAAAAAGTATTCTGTGTCTATTTATTATGTGCATTCCAGATATCCCTGCTTCCAGTTGAGAGCTCTGATCCTGTGTTGAGGCTGGACACCAACAATAAGTCATTTTGAGAGTGTTCAAGGTCATGTGATTGATCTCATGACAGATTATTCCTTAAAATATTTTGTTATTTTTGAAAGAGATTTGAGTCTATGGAGATGGCCAAGTGGTTAAGAATATTCACTGTGGAAGTAATTGAATATGAATTAAAAAACCAAAACACATAAAAATTGAGTCATCATTAGGCATGGCTTTGTAACCGCAGCACTATGAGTAGACTGAGACAGGAGGGTCTCTAGGACATGATGGCTGCCAACCTAGCTCCAGGGAGAGACATTTTCTCAAGGACACAGGTCAAACAGTGGTTGAGTGGGACACCCAAAATCCTCCTCTGATCTCAGGATCATACTTGTGAACATATCTACACATGGCTATGCATATACCACACACATGCACCAGGCTTACATTTGTATAAACACACATAAGTACAGAGAAAAAAAAACTTTAAAAATTAAGGTTTTATATTGATAGCTGCGGTAAAGTTCTGCAGTAGATTGGCAGGCTGTGACAAGCATGAAAGAGCACTTACTTAGGCTGTAAGACTTTCTTCACTCAGCTCCACTTATATAACTGAAAGGGCCAGTGATACATTTGAAACTGCAATGACGGATTCTGGCCAGAGAAGCACATAGGCTAACTGCAAATCTTCACCTCTAGTCCCTTTCTTCCAAATCCAATTTCCCAGGCTCATTTCCAGCTCTGTGCCCCATTCCTCACACAGCTCCAGTGACACACACACAGATCTTCCCCTCCAACCTTGCTTCCTCCTACTCATAGCTTTATGTGAGTTGTCACCTCCAGCAGGCATTCCCTAAGACCCACAGCACACTCCAACAGGTAAGCAGGTAGCCTAATTGCAGTTCTTCACTGTTCCTTTATCCTTTCCAACCCACTGAGTCTCACCCACAAATCAGATGTGGCCTCCTTCTTGTCTCTGTTCCCATCTCCAGCAGATCACTCAGACCATCCACTCCAAACTTTCTCCCTGCTCATGCTATTCCAGGCCCAAAGTCCAGCAGCCATTCCTACTTAAATCAGAACTGACTTCACTGATCTTGGGAGACTTCAATAGCCCACTCTCACTAACAGACAAGACATCAGACAAAAGCTAAACAAAGGAATGCAGCAACTAGCAGATGTTATAAACCAAATGGACCTAACATATTTAAAGAACATGTCACCTAAACACACAGAAAAAATGTACTTTCTTCTCTGTGCTTCATGGAACTTTCTTTATAATTGATCACATATTTGGAAACAAAGTGAGTCTCAACAGACAGAAGAACTAACTCCCTGCATCCTCTCTGACACTACTGATTTCATCAACAACAGAGAACTTAAAATACCATGGAAACTAAACAATGCTCTACTGAACGAAAATGAGTCAAGATAGTATCTAAAGATTCAACAGAACTGAGTGAAAATAAATACAAAACATACTGAAAATTCGGGATACAGTGAAGGCGCTTCTGAGAGGCAAGCAAGTTCATTATGCTAATTTACCTCATAAAATACTTGAAAATATCTCATATTAGAAGCTTAAGTGCACATCTGAAAGTTCTAAAACAGAAAGAAGAACCCCCCCCCAAAGGAGTAGACCACAAGAAATATATACAGGACTGAAATTAATAAAATAGAAACAAACAAAAAACAGTAGAGCCAGTCAATGAAACAAAGAATTGATTCATTGATGAAGTCAATAACACTGACAACACTTATCCAAAATAACTAAAAAGTGGAGAGAGAGATGACAACATTAAAAAAACTAAAAAGTGAAAAGAGGTTGTAACAGCAGATACCAAGAAAATCTAGAGAACCATGAGGATAACATTTACTCCATCAAGTTGGAAAATCTAAAAGAAAAGAATAATTTTCTTGATATGCATCACTTACTCAAGTTAAATAAAGATGATATAAGTAACTTAAACATACATATAAACCATACTGTTCCAGGAGGAAGAGAAAGGGATGCGGAGAGGATTGAGAATTTGGACCAGGCTGTAGAGCAGATAAGAAGGACAGACAAGTAGATCTCGGGGACTGATAGTTTGTTGCCTCTTCAGCTGCCTGCAGAGGCTAAGGAAGATGGGGCAGGATATTCTTTGCCCAGCAGTTGTGTTATCTGGCTGGTTTTAAAATATTAAGGCAGTCTGATGTTTTCCATCAGCAGTGACTCAGGTGAGCAGGAGAAAGGGCGGCAGTTGGCTGTTGGCAGAGCTGACTGGGGAGGTTAGCTTGTAGCATGTGGAACAGCAGGTCCCAGCGTTTTTTAGGTAGGGCAGTTGTCAATAG